GTCAAAGGCCAAAAAAACCAATACAAAGGAATTATGCCGCAACGAATTAGTCCACGTGGACTGAAGAATTGGCGGTTCGTATTAGATTATTTTTACTAACCGAGTTTTATGATTGGAGACCAACAGAATGTAGCGATGAGTACCGCCGTTGTGTCGTCAATGTTCAGTTCAGGAACTGATCGCGATTTGAGTGTTGAAATTCGATATTGGTGAAGTTATAATTACTTGAAATTTTTGTTATTTGTTCAAAAGGTGGCGTCCTTGGACGAGTACTAATAATAATAACGAGTGTGATAACGACGCAGACTTTTTCCTGTGTAGGATTCCAATAGCGATGGTGAACAATGCGAAAAAGATATATCAGTGAATAAGATACTGAAAGTTACTTCTTTGCATGATCTACACATTCATGTATAGAGTTTCAAATTGATTACTTCCTTCATTTCTTTGGAAGATTCTCTCATCCCATTTTTTTGTATCAGATGGAGTAGTAGAAAGCCAAAAACTTTCTGTCCCAAAAAATTAATCACTCCTAAAAATATAACCCCTTCAATTCATGAAATACAAAGTTTTTTAATGGATAACAATGTGTATTTTGAAGATAACTATACCAAAAACCAACTACTTGAAGTTTTACAGACAAAAATATTTGAAAAAGTGTATGTAGTAGTTAGTAGAGTAGTATATTAACAAAATTGGTTAGCTACCTAACTATTTTATTAAAGGGGAACTGCTTGAACTATACCTTCAAGTTATCTTTATCATCATCTTATGTATACCTTACCTCAATCTCTTTGTCTTTTATCTTTATATTTCATACTTGTGATGCACTGATGCACTTCATTAGATATATCTTATATCTCACCTTTTCTTTTTTTTTTCATATTCATCCTCATATACTCTTTATCTCAATCCATCTTCAAGTTTTACACCCTTTTCTGAACATTTGTCATTTTATCACATACAAAATGTATTCAGCGTCACTGTCACTGAACTAATGTAAATATTGCTCGATCATAAGCATAATTTCATAATTTGTACTTATTTCAATAATGTTTCAAGGTTAATTTGATGATGAATTTCAATGTACCTCGTATGTACTAATTATTTTTTTATTATTTACTGAAATAGATAGATCACTCACAAGGAACACCACTTCTTCGATGCTCCTTCAGTGATAACGTTGTTAATTTATTCCTTTTTTTTACACGCTTTATTTTAGATTCACATGTATGTATGTATGTATGTTTGTTTGTAACTCTCTTTTTAATTTATGTGTTTATTTTATGGTATTTCTTGATCACTTTAACCCAAAACCGGTCGTATAAATAAAATATACCATAGGTAATTAGACAAAAGTGTCTTTTTCATTTCATATAGGGATCTGTATTTGACAGAATTATTGACATTATTGCTTGATCTATCCGCGGGCAGATGGCGCTGTACGTAACTCCTTGATATATTGACATTATTGCTTGATCTATTCGTGGGCAGATGGCGCTGTAAGTAACCTCCTTGATATAATTCGAACTCGCTTTACATGTCATTCTTCATTTAAAAGTATTTTTTTTATTATTATTTATTTATTATTTGCGCGCCTGCTGCTGTCTTTGGGCTTGATAGATGATTTTCAGGCTCCCTCTCCGGAATCGGAAAATATCGATGGGCATTTTTCTAAACAATATACGGCTGTAACTCTAGTCTAAAAACTAAAAAACACGCTTTTAAAGAACATCGAACTAAAAAGTTAAAAATATTTTTTTAAATAAGCTAAAAACAATAACGAACGAAAAATACTTAGTTTTTTAAACTATATTTATTATATTTAAGAATCATGTATAACTTTTATCTATATTTGGTGAATATACATTATTATTATTGGAGAATCTAGGGCGACTTCTTCATCTCCTGAGGAGGCCAACTTGGTTAGTCGAGTTCTGGTGTTTGGGAAAAGCGCTCGTTTTGAATAATTCATTTATTTAATTAATTATTCAATTCGGGGTACAAACAGGTCGGAACCCACAACAATATCCTCCAAAGATTGCAGACATTCAATCAACAACGAAAAAAAAACACTATCCAAGAAACAAAGTGAGGTGGTAACTAATACTGATAGCTATATATAATTCACAATATCACAGTACTTCTCAAAAATATTTCCCAATATAATCATTATTTTAATAGGAAGCCACAGAAAATTATTAAACTATAAATACAATTTCAACAAATACTTTATAGTGATATTTCCACTAAAACATTTTAACAGAAATACTATACAATAGCATCTTCAGGGGCGACTATAAAGACGTGAAATTGTAACTTTCAAATGAGACAGTTGGTAACACTAGCTAATTTATTTTTAAACGTGATAGCTGACAAATCAAGTGACAAGAGACGTGTGAAAATGCTCTCCAATCGTCAGTTTTGATACGTCAATTGTCAGTTTTGATGCGTCATTTGTCAGTTTTGTTAACTGTCAGCTTTGATGCGTCTTTGTCAGTTTTGTTAGCTGTCAGTTTTGATGCGTCATTTGTCAGTTTTGTTAGCTGTCACTTTTGATGCGTCATTTGTCATTTTTGTCAACTGTCAGTTTTGATGCGTCATTTGTCAGTTTTGTTAACTGTCAGTTTTGATGCGTCATTTGTTAGTTTTGTTGCGTAAACTGTCAGTTTTCTAAATGCAGGTTATATCTTGTTAATGATTATCGTGAAAATCAACTTATTCTTGAATAACAGTCGCTTAGTTTTCCCAAAAAAAACCTTTTGGCTTTCTACTCCTCCATCATTAAACAGAAGATGTGAGAAACGTACAAAAAAATGGAGAAAGGAGCTAACTAGAAATTTAAAAAGCTTTTTTTGCCAAAAAAACTGATATCCCCCTTCCAATTCACATTTCCTTACGTCTCCTTTGTTGAAATGATGAGAAATCCAAATCCTTAGATTAAAAGGTTACAATCAACCAAAGAAAACGAAATGCAACGCAGTCATAATCCGGGCCCCGCAGATATCAGATTCAAAAGTCCGTCCCTGCTCCCAAGAAATCGAAGGACCTAAAGAGAGACGCAACACTCCCCTTTCTCCAATAGAAACGGGCTTTCTCCTGCCAATGCTTTCCTCTCGCTCGCACCTTGCACATGCATTTTCCACGAAAGGTTAACAGCGAAGCGAAAAAACGATTTCAAAAATTAATAGGGAGCGTCGTCAATATTTCAGAGCTGTTTCAATCGAGGGGGTTGTTTGAAGGCGATATAATTATTCCCGTCGCGAAACTCATCAATTCATGTACATACAAATAGGATATTTCAAAGAATTTAATACTTACAGCGCCATATGGGTGTCAGCCCAACTAATATAAAATGAGATGTGAGGACCGTGGGCAAAAAAATATATCGGTCAGACGGAGCTAACTATTGAAACCCGTTTCAAAGAACACACTGCACATTGCAATCAAATCAAATTCACAAATCCTCAACGCTTTTGCATTTCTCAATTATTCAAAATCGGTCAGAACGTTGTCGACTGTAACATTTCACAGGCAACAAAAGTTTTTACTACCTTGAATAGCTTAAGATCATCAGCAAATAGAAGAGACCCGAGAAAAATGTCAACCGAAGTATCATTTATAAAATTTGAAAATGAAATTGGTGCACGATTTCTTTCCTGCGGAGCTTCACTACGGGCTACAGATTCAGGTGATTTGTGACCTCTATATTCAACAATTAGTCGAGGCTGATCTTGGTAAGGTCTAAAAAATGATATCAAGTCAATGCCAGATCCAATATGTCAATATATCAGAAGCTTTTGAAAAGTTTGTGTAGATCACATGTACCTAATTATGGTAATGAAGAGCTATATCTGTTATTAATTGTACTCCTTGAGGAAAGAAAGCCATGATTATCAGATGTTATTTTGTGTTTAATTTGAGGAAAAGGAGAATTATACGCATTCTTCTCGAAGACCTTTGCAAACCCCGCCTGTAATTGGTAATGTCAGGCCTTTCACCCGTTTTGAAAATAGGTCCATGTTAATGCAAACTCAGTTAGTTCTAAGATGAATGTAACTACGGGGGCTGCGGAATGTTTAATTATGAAGCAAGAGGCATTGTCAAAACCCTGCGTTTCCTAGTCCTTCAACTATTTTATTGCTATTAAAACCTCATATATATCAAGTTCTTTTACTGATATATGTGAGTGATTTCTTTCTATACCAGACTGATTAAGAAATGTTTGTTAGGAGACAAGGTCATAATATCTGGAATGTCTGAAATACCTCTTTTTGAGTTAATAGAATACCAGAACTGAGTTTTTAATAAGTGTTGATCCAATAGATAGACAATAGAACTTATAAGCCAGTTTGGCTTGATTATGAATGTAGTTGCCTAAATTGCTGTTGCAATTCATAAGATTTTTTTCAGATTCTGACTGATTTTACTAATATATTTTATCATATAAAATACTGGAAATTATTTCATAAATGATTTGGAATATCAGACACAACATAATATAAAAACATATCACAAACCTCAATCCTGATTCAGTCTGACTGTTGTATTGATACTTAAAGCATATGAAATAATTGAAATTTCACTTACATGAGACACTGTCATCAATGGCAGATTGAATCAAATAAGCGAATGAATATCATTACGTACTGTCATTGAAGACATGAGCAGATTTAACTAAAATTGTCCCTCAATTATATTTCCACAGGCTCTTCAATTAGTAAACTTGTCGTTCCTGAGTCATGAATTACTGAGCTTTCAATGTATCGTGAAAATTCCAGTGGTGCCTATGGTAGTGGTTTCTGATCTACTGAACAAGAGCTGAATTTATAGAAACTCAATCAAAACTAATCTAATGACACCCCGTTATTAAATTTCAGTGGACGATACCGAGAAATATATTTGAATAAACCAAATAATGCAACTTTCTTACGAAACAAAATCGCCGAAACATAACCTACAAATAGAAAATTTCAAAATAATATAAGATGTAGACTTACCTCTGTCAAATTTCTTGCCTTCTGGGTCGATGTCTTTCACATTGAAAATATCTTCGAACAACACACCAGCCATTTTCACTTTTTTATGTTTCTAAAATATGTTAAATAAAAGTACTAGGCTAAACTATTCTCCTTTTGCTTATTTGAAAACAAAATGATAAATGTTATCGATTATCCAAACCACATTCTTCTCATTCACCTAACTCTTCTTCCCTCTTCTGTTAGGCCTCGTCTACTAATGACATCTAGTCTGGGTTGCCTCCTTTCAATAAATACGCCAACGAAAATCGTAAACGAAAATCGAAAACGAAAATATATTAACGATTAAATTTTGCTATGTAGCTGAATCACAATAAGCATTCTTTTTTGAAATTGAATTCAATATAGATTTTGTTATGAAAATATGTTCGATTGATGACCTATTTATTTCATTCTATATTCTATATTCATTATGAAAATATATTCCTTTGTTGATGATATAACTTCTATAATTTGAATACTCGTTTTGAGTTTTTTGGATTTTCAATTTTTCAAATACAAGTAAATTTGTCTCTTGTTGGGGGAGTTGATTGTATAATATGGTTTCTTTCAAAATTTGAAAATTGTTTGCACATTGTTCTGTGAATTCCCTATTTCACATAAAAACTTTGACGCCAGACTTTCAGCTCTTGGGAAAAACTAAAAAAAAGTGTTGGTAATTTAAGTTTTCCAGAAAGCTTGACCAGAGACCGTTACTAATTTTTGACTTGGCTTCTCTTCCTCATTTATGTCAGATGGCAAGAAGTAGAATTGAGTGTTGTCACTGTTTTCAGTGTTTTCAATAACCTAAAAACGTCAAATACTATAAGCCGTATAAATTATCGAATATTTTCCAAAGAACAGTATTTTAGCCGTAAAATGACGACATTGCCGCCTAGAAGAAATCCCACCCCTACGAAAATATCTAAACAGCATCTTACCCCTCTTCAAACGCTCTTGCAAATGGGGTTCCCAAAACACAGAGTGTAAGTGTTTTGTTTTCTGCTGGAATACACTGCTTTCATTGGGCATTCTTTACAAGAACTGAACTCCGTGAAATGATTAGTATCAACACTGGATAGTGAGATGACACGGGATACATAATAATAACAGAGTAGGCAGGTTGTGCTTTGTATGTTATTGATGAGACAAGTGTAACAATTCTATTTCTATTGGAGAAACTAATCCATGACTCGCACCTTCGAATCAATCTCAGTCTACTAGATTCATAACTCAATACATTCGATACTAACCACAAAACTTTACAGATGTGTTTTAATTTTCAGTCGCAAGTAGGTCTTGAGCATTCACTTCAAAATGTGGTCTTGAAACGTCAAACGTTTAGTTTTTGATGAAAAAAATAAACTGGAAAGTGAAAACGAGTGTGCTACCTCGGAAATTTGTGATGTGGGGGAGAAATTGATGTTTCTCCAATGTTTATGGCTCAGTAACGAAATGAAAGCAGTTTGAAACATGAATAGTTTCACGTCAAAGTAAAAGATTACTACTTTGTGAAGTAGTTGGTAGAACACGGGTTTTGAGCTCAGATCCCACTGATGAACGGTAGTTTTTTCAATCACACAACTTTCAAAAAATTTGAAATTGAATACAGTGAAAATGAAAGTTTTTTTGAATTATTTTTCAGGTTGTTTCTTGTTGTGAAATTTAATAAGTGTCATTTGGAGTAATCACAAATTAACCTTATTTTGAAATATTGCTGATATAAGTCATAGAAGAAAAGTGCTGTTTTTCAACTCACCTGGGAGTAACAATAATCAAACACGACATTAAAACAGATGGAACATTTGAAACAACCTGATATTTATTATGAATAATTTACTTTGGATCCTTTTAAAACTGAGATTTGTTATTTCAGGGAAAAAGCACTCGCTGCCACAGGCCACAGAGGGGTACAACTAGCTTCAGACTGGCTGTTGGCCCACGTAAACGACCCTTTGCTGGACGATAACTCGCCAAGGGAATACATTTTGTACGCTTGCCCTACCGGCCCCTTTTCTCAGCAACTTGAAGGATTCTGGGACAAATCGCGCTCTCTCTGTGGTTGGAACGGAGCTCATAACTTCACCCCGCATATAACACTGGTTTCATTTTTCAAGGTACTCATCGTCTGGAGCTTTTATATAACTTTATAAATTATTGTGAAATTTCTGTTATAACTGCATATAGATTTGGCTATGTCTGGACCACAAAGAATTATGTAGAGGTGAATTCAAAAAATTTGATATAATAACCATGTCATGGACCTATAATATGAGTGCTTAATGTTTCTATTCAAAAATCTCAATAAATTTGAATTGCATAATATACAACATAGTCTAAACACACGAAACCATAACACTAACTATAGTATTGCTCATGTTCAATATTCCAAACATAAGTACCGCAACGAAAGCACCACTAATATCTTTACTAAAGTTAGTTAATCGTTTGAATATATCAATAGATCCCACTTTCCCAATCAGCATTCCGCAAAAAAATTTTGGAACATATGTTAAATTTACCTATTCAATAAAGATCCATAGTAATTTCAAAAACTACACCTCCCGATTTGATCTTCACAAACTTTGTGGAGATCAAATCGGGAGGTGTAGTTTTTGAAATCGATATTGCTTGATCTATTCGCGGACAGATGGCGCTGTAGGTAACGTCCTTGATATTTCTTGATCTATTCGCGGGCAGGTGGCGCTGTACGCAACCTTGATAGGCTGTTCAAAAGAAAATCAAAATAATGAATATAGTTTAAAAAGACTAAAAAACACGCCTTTATCTGAATCATATAAGTATGGCCCATAAATGAAGTCACAGTAGTTCAAATGGCTCAGCACCAAACTATCACAGAGCATTCTTTTAGAGGGTGGCTCAAAATAAAACGATGACAGTATACCAGTTTCTAAGAGATATAAGCTTTTTTCATTGAATTTTTAACACGACTAGTGAATCTAAGATCAGTGTCAAGCATCACCCCTAAGTTTTTAGCTGTATTGACAGGAGTCAAGATAGTTTGACCTAGTTCAAAATGGAAATTGTTTTCTGCAAATTTACGATTCTTCTGCAATGCAAAATGCATCATCATTGTTTTATTAGGAATAACTTTCAAATCATGTTCACTTGATAGCCCATCGATCAAGACAAGATCAGTGTTGAAGACATTTTGTGCCTCAGCATACTCATCGATTTTTGAGTGCATGTATAATTGTATGTCATCAGGATACGCCTGTATTCTACATTTCTTGATGGACGAGTAATGTCAGTAGTATAAATGATGAACAATAAAGGTCCCAAAATGGAACCCTGTGGTACTCCTGATAGAATATCAAGAGGTAAGGAGTGATGACCATGTGAAGGTGCAGCGGGAGAGATGCATGTTGTGAGATTTCATTTTGAAATATTTATTTTCTTATATTGTTGTTGTAGACACCGGATGAAGACGCCTTGCACCTGTCTCAGGGATTGAAATCAGTGATGGAACGACAAGGCGCCGTTCTGAACGAGCCCCTCAAACTAGAAACGTACACTTCGCCTAACTTCATGGGCTTCTTTGTGGCTGAGGAACATGCCGACTATCTGAAGAGGATAGCTATGCAGTATGTCAAAGAAGTTTCAAATGCTAGTAAGGTTTTCATGAGTATTTGCATCGTGTTTCACTGTGGAGGTGAATTTGTAGATAGGCTGACTTGCATTAGGCGTTGTAGTGCTTTGATGCTTTGATGAAATATTCGAGTATTTGGAATAAAGGGAGAAGGGTTCAAGGCTGAAAGGTATTTTTAATGATGGAATAAAGAATTGTGGAAGGAAATTGAGGACAACACTCGAGAAATATAGGTAACAAAAGTGATGTGATTTGTTTCACATTTATGTGTTTGACAAACTCTGATTTCAAGCTATTGAATTGCTCAATGATTTCTCTAGAATCCATCTCAATTCATCCACATAGACTGTCTGTTCCCCTAGAAAGGTTGATACAAAAATTTAAAGTATAAAATATCTCCAAATGAAGTAATATGCATTGTCTGATGTTACTGGCCTCCCATTAATCTTGATTCTTTTTTTGTTTTTTGCATGTGACTAACAGACACACTTTACTAAGGGGATAACTGGTTCTTTGCAGTAATAAGCGACACCTACGAGCACTTCGATGCTCTGACAGCTTGCTTCCCCTGGTGCACCACGACGACGGCCCGTTGTATACCAAGGGGTAGTAGATGTAAGCAATTTCTATTATGTACCTTTTGGTGTTGTCCTTCCTGTTTGCATGTATATGAATTGTTCCTAATGGTACGTTGGATTCTGAATGAAAGGTACTACTAATCTGTATCTGTAGAGTAGGGAGGGTTAGTGTAGACCAGTGGTCGCCAACCTCTTCAATGTGTTGAGCTACTTTGTTAATTTTAGAATAAACAGCGAGCTACCCACACGGAAGCCACGTAACGCAACGTAAATGAAATAATCCACAGTTAATTTATCATTATACGTATTTATTTTACTATTTAACTGGTAATACATAATACATAGGTACTAATAATAAACTAATAACAAAATAACTAATATTACTAGTACGTACTTGTTCATAGCTACATCCCTACCTATCAAACGAAGGTGTTTTGAAAATAAACACAAACTTTTATCCAGCCACAACGGCATGTCACATATGATTTAAAAATAGTTGATAATAACAACAAAAAAGTAACGCACTATCATGAACATAAACATTGAAAAATAAAAAAGCACGTTCAATGAGAAGGCTGACACTCAGACTCATCGATAATTTTTTTAATGTTTGCAGTATAATTTGATGCAGCCATTCGAAT